ACTCTTTCCTTCCTTCGTTCCTTCTCTCTACTCTCTCACTCTCTTTCCTTCCTTCTTTCCTCCTTCTGTGGACCAACTCTAGTGAGAAGGGGTTTAAACTTTAAACCCCTTCTCTCTTTGCTCCCCCCCCCCAGGGAAGGGAAGGGGAGGCTTTTGAAGATGCCTTTCCCCCCCTTTTGCTTCCCCTTCTGACATCACTTCCAGTGATGTCAGGGGGCGTTGCATATGCTAATGAGCTATTATGCTAATAGCCTAGTAGCTCATTAGCATACTGTATGCTAATGAGCTCCTGCAGCTCTTTTTCTACAAAAAGACCCCTGGATTAACAAATATGTGGACAAGGATGATCTGGTAGACTATATATAGTTGAACTTCCAGAAAGCTTTTGAGGGAGTTCCTCACCAAAGGTTCATGAATAAGCTGAGCAATTGGGGAATAAAAAGATTGTTCCTCTTGTGGATTAGAAACTAGTTAAATGACATCAGCAGAGAGTCGAAATAAATGGACAGGTCTCTCAATAGGGAGAAGTAAACAGGTTCCACAGGGATCGGTATTGGAACTGGTGCTATTTAATTTATTTGGAATCAAGGTGAGCAGTAAAGTGGCCATCTTTGCTGACGGTGGAAAATTATTCAGGATGGGGAAAATCAGAGCAGATTGCAAAGATATCTTGGGGTCATGGTGGCTAGTTCAATAAAAAGGCAGCAGTACCTCTTTATTCAAAAACTAATTAACTTGTGAAATTCTCTGCCATGGGGTATATTAATGGTCTCTATAGTTAACTGGTTTTTAAAGGGGGTTAGACAAATTCATTGAGGATAGGTCTGTCAATAGTTATTATACATAATGACTAAATGGGATCGCCATGTTTAGAGGCAGAGTACAAATAACAATGCCTTTCACTGTTACTGCATAGCATACACTTCGCTATAGCATCTAGTATGGGCCATTTTGGAGAAAGGTTGCTAAGCTTATGCTGACCCAGTAAGGTTTCCTCTGTGAACTCAAAGAAGGGTGGTTTATAAACCGAAATTATAAATCAATCAATAAATATTCTGTTGATTGCCACAAAGTTTAGATCAGTTTTGTAACAAAATATGTGTTTATCAGCTTGTTCCACTTTTTCATCCCTTCTTCAGGCCTTTGTAATAGGGTGAAATGAACAGGACAAGCCTGTAATAACAAATAGGTTTATGTTTCAAGGATTTTACTAGTAAACCATCTGTTATTCTCTCTAAAACCAAGCTGCTAAGTCTGTGAGAATGTTACAGACTGATGAGTATTTTCCAGAGGAGTAGATTAATCGTTGTGAACTGCACAGCTCATCTGAAACCACTGTTCAGCATCTTTTGGCCCCCCACCCTTTCCCAAACTGCCACCTTCATCATTTTTTTCTCAGTAGAAATACATAAATCTCCACATGATAAAGACTTTTATAATAGGCACAAGGCACTGGGGTATGGTTGCTGTGAAAGAAGCAGAGATATTCAGCTGTGCTTCATGGTTTCCTAATGCCTCAGGAGTGCTATTGTCTTAGCATAACCACCTTTTCTATCTTGCTTTTCCCATAATTTCAGACAGCAGCAGTTATCTTCACATGTAGTCTTCCTAAAATAAATGTCATTTGTGTGTGTGTGTTGTTTTATTTTTCCTACTTTTTTAAAGAACGCAAAGGATCTTGGTCAGAGAGAAGAAATTCTAGCATTGTTGGTAGGCGTTCTTTGGAAAGAACCACTAGTGGGGATGAGGCCTGCAACTTGACAAACTTCAGACCAGCTACCCTCACAGTGACTAACTTCTTTAAACAGGTATTAGACAAACTATGCTCACAGTGCCAGTGTGGTACCACTACCATGGCACAGGGTTTATATGTATGTTTTGGCTTAGAGTGCATAGAGCTCTATTTATAAATGGTCCAGTCCTGCTTTCTGCCCAGCCACAATAATTAAAACAAATCGAAACTGCTTTTTTAAAGAGCTACTGTTGGTGGGAGGCCATGAGATGTGGAATTTGTTTCCCTTGGACACTTCCCAAAGCTCAAGTCTTTGGGAAACATAAGATACAATTGTTTGGAATAATTTTGGTTAAGCTAGTATGCAAGAGAAGTTGTTCAAACACAACAAGTTAGCAAATACGATTGATTTACCAGCACCTGTGTTTAATGTATGTTTAATCTTTTGTTATACCACCAGGCTTTCAGGATAGAAGTGTTAAAATTAAATAGATTCTTCTAGTCAGGACAGTTGGCTAGATGGTAGTGGAGTTACTTGGTCAGGGACAATGATGCAGGCATGTTCTCAGGTTGTGAGAACATCAGGAGGAAGAGATGCCAGGTTACGATTTAGAAGTTCAGGACAGCATTAAGTACTGTCACCTGGTAAATCAGGTCATTCAGGGATAATGTATTAGCTCCTGCTGAGTTTATGCAAGGTTGACATTTTCACAAAATAATACTGTCACTCCTGATCAGCACCAGGGGCTGTTCACCTTAAATACCTAGGATTAGCATCCTGCTACTCCTTGGTTATTACAAGGAGGGAGGTGAAGCATTTAAAAATTGGAAATGGAGGTATCAATTCAAGATAGGAGAACTGAGACGAATATTTTCAACTGAAAATTGGAATGTACATTTGAAATGTACGTTTTCAGTTGAAATTCAGATGTGAGGTGTGTTTCCAAAGCGCTTCTATTTTAGTTTTTTCAAGTTCAAATTTTATTTTATATTAACAAGGGATTGAGGCTACTAATTGATGAATTATTGTAAATAAAATAATAATATTGTAAATAAAAGAATTTTTCTATAATAAAAGATAGCTATTATATTGACACTTTGATTAGCATAATTAGCAACGGCTAAATATTGTATGGCCAAGCAAGATTATTATTCTTTATCCTTTTTTAAAAAAACTCTCAATATGGATAAAGTAAGTACCTTTGACCTAAAATACTATATTCTAATTCCCATCATCCCTAAGCATACATAGTGCATTGTACCGGAAATATTTAGTACAGTAGTGTATAATATCTAGATGATAGGTAATCAAATTAAAAGAATATTGTGAACAATTTTTCTATGATGAAAGATAGCTATTATATTAACACTTTGATTAGCATACGTATCTGTGGCAAAGTGGTATCATACAGACTCATTTCTAGGAAAAGGAACAGAACTGTCTATTATTACCAGTTAAAATTATCACCGTTTTCAAGATCCGGTTCCGGTACGGTGCGGCGACGGGCAGGTTTCGGGTTTCTCTGAGCCGCCTGATCCCCCTTTGTCTCTTTTTGAGCACCCTGACGAGGGCTGGATTCCACTGGACCTCCCGGAGAGAGGACCGGTGCAGAGGGCTTTGTTTCAACCCCTCCTGCACGTGGCAATGCGGTGGAGGGGTGATCGTTACTGCCTTGAAGCAGGAGTGTCGGGAGGAGTGTAGCATGGCTTCCATGTTTGCAACTAGCTGCAGCCTTCCGTTTTAAACTATGTTTGGATTACAATATTTACAGCAATGCAGAAGAAGAATAACCCTTCTTGAACCTATACGATATCGTGGTTTGTGAGTATGCTTGTTTTCAAACCTAACAGAAGAGACGAACCTTTATAAATTTACACCGGATCTTTGTGCCAAAAAATGGAGTCGATTAGCAGCCAGAGAAGGAATGGGGGAAATATTTGTATGAATGTTATTGTTCCTTTTATTGCGGGGTAAAAAAAATGGTAGGAAAGGACTTACAACCATACATGATACCTTAGATGGTCATTAAAAACTGAGTTATTTAAATTGAAATCAACTGTGTAACTAAAATGGCACCTGCAGAGGGAACAGAGGAAGAGGAGATTGATGATAATATGCAAGTGGGAGATTTTACTGTGGAATAATTTTTGAAGTTGCTGAGAGAGGGAATATGAAAAGGTTTTGAGGCAGCTTGTGCCAATATACTTGAAAAATCGCAGAATGTACAATCAGTTATGGAAAATGATGAGGAATTGATACAGGATACACAGAGTGATAAAGAACAACAGGCTTGCCAGTTCAAGGAGTCACTTGATGATATCCAGCCTGCACCAATTATAGATGTGGAAAAGAAAACAATGAGAAAGTCCTATGTAAAGACAGAGCTAAAGAAAAAGAGACTGCAAAGAAGTTTCTGTAGAGAAGGAAGAAAATGGAAAAAAAAGAGACCAAAACGATATGCTTGGAAACCCAGGACTGAAGATAAAATATAGGACACAGAGAAGCTGAAATATAGAGAAGGGAGCCTAGAAGTAAAGTTGTGTACATACAAAGAGAGTATACATGTGGACTCATTGAGGCTAAAAATAGGTTACAAATTCACAGGAAAAAAGCTAAGATATATAAAAGATGGAATGCTATTTTTGCTGATTCTTGTTTAATTGGAAAAATGAAATCATGGTTCCTGCTTTAATGTGATATTGATGATTACTCACTAAGGGATTTTTTCTTTTCTCTTCTCTTCTTTTTCTTTTTCTTTTACTTTGTTCACTTGCTTTGACTCTTGTTTTTTCTTTTTGTTTATAAATTGATTTTGTTTAAGAGAGAATTATAAAGACAAGTGCTGTATAGAATGTTGAAATAAGTAGTAATAGCAATGAAAGAGGATTAATTAGGGTCAAGTAATGGTTGAAATAAATTAATAGGGAAGAAAGTTTTTCTCCTTGAGATATACTTATTTAATTAAGTTGAAACAACTAGTAAGATATTGTACTATGCTCCTGTATGTAGTGAAAACTTGGAAAAATAAAGTATAGTCTTTTAAGGAAAGAATCAAGTTATATGAAGGGTGAAATGTTATTGTTGATTTATAATTAACAAAAAAATTGCTTCTTGCCTTTTGTCTTGTGAGATATAGTAATAATAAGTAAGATAAGGTAATATAGCTTTAAACGTTTTGAAAACCTGGATAAAAATGGATAGAAAGAATTTGAATAGAAAGTGTAGATTAAAATTAAAAAGGTGATAGAAATGGATTTTTATTTATTAAAAATTTACAGGATAGTAAAGAGAGAGGAGGTTTTGCTCTGCCCAACTGGCAGCTCTACTATTTTGCGGCAGCAATGACATGGATCAAAGAATGGGTTGAATTAAAAGATGTGAGAACTTTAACGATAGAAGGAGCGGATTTGTCAATGGGATGGCATGCGTACATATGGTACGGAAAGGATAAAATCCATGCCAGCTTTCATACAAATATAATAAGAAGTGCCTTGATGAAAATTTGGAACATAATAAAACACAAATTTTACATTAAACCCCCCTTATGGATATTTCCACTGGAAGCATTTACAAAACCAACACTGATAACAGAAGAAATTAAAGAAACATATGGCAATCTACTAAATAAAAAAGTAGAACTGAAAGCAGATGAAATATTAAAAAAACAAAATATACAACTGTCTTGGTAGGTATTAAATATAATAAAAGCAAGATACATGCTAGATAAGAAAGTAGGCTTTTACACGACCCTAAATGAAATGGATAAAATCTGGCTTTCATCCAGCGATAAGTTAATTCAGAAAATATACACTAAGCTATTAGAAGAGGAACTCCAAGAAGAAACTATTAAAAACTCAATGGTAGCTTGGATAAAAGAGTTAGGATACACATTAGAAGCAAATCGCTGGCAGAAAACATGGAGATCAATAAAATATATGACAGCAACGGCATACAAAGAAAATATTTATAAAATGTTTTACAGATGGCATTGGACTCCTGTTAAAGTTGCCAAATGCTTTCCGAAAGCTTCTAATATATGTTGGAGATGTGGACGAAATATAGGATCATACCTCCACATATGGTGGAGGTGTGGTAAAATACAATCCTATTGGAAAAAAATATATAAAATCTTTTTAGAGATATTTAAAGTAAACAACCCCCTAACGCCTGAATCATACCTGCTAAATATGATTCCGGATAATATAAAAAACCACAAGCATATAATAACCTACATCTTAACAGCAGCAAGAATTCTGATAGCTAAACGTTGGAAGTCAAAAGCCATACCATCCATAAAAGAACTCAAATGCAAGATTCTGGATATAGCGGAAATGGAAAAACTGAGTTTAGCATTGAACAATAAACCAGAGGATATTTTCTGGAACAGATGGAAGATTGTCTATGACTGGATAAAACACAAGAAGAAGGTATAATATTGAGTCAAAGCTAGTTAAAAATAACAGATTAGAAGTAACAAAATGGACCATTATTTTAAAGAAATGTATAAACCAAAAACTGATCTATGTATATATTTATGTGAACTGACCGTCTGGTGATTCCAGGTCCCCGAGAGGTAAAGCTTGCTGCGACAAGGGCCAGATCTTTCTCAGTGGCGGCCCCTACCTGGTGGAACGAGCTCCCGGAGGAGATCAGCGCCCTGTGGGACCTTATGCAGTTCCGCAGGGCCTGTAAGACGGAGCTCTTCCACCAGGCTTTCACGTAGGGGCCGCCACTGCCACCACCACCAATGGTGGCAATACCATCGAGATCGGGAATTGCCCTTGGTAGCCCATGTGGCAATGAGAACTATGCGGCAATGGGAACGGGATTAGCACGAACCATCTTCTGGACAGTGGTACCCCAATGGGGCTGCTGGAACATACCATCATAACCACTTAAGACCATCTTGATAATGAAAGCACTTTGTTGTTGTTAGTAGTGTTACCCCGCTTGCGGGGAGGGCGGGGTAAAAATGCCTAAATAAATAAAATAAAAATAAATAAATAAAAATGTAAAAATAAATTTATAAAAAAAGAAGAAAGAAATGGATTTTTATTTATGATGGGTTCTAAGTTATTTATAAGTTTTCATTTTCCCATATTACATAAAAGAATGATATAGTTTCTATGGAAGTATAATGAAAATTAAGAAGGGGTTGGAAATGTTTATTTTGGTAGATGTAACTTATTTTGGGGAAAGTGAGTATAGAATCTCGGTTATAAGGAAATATTCATAAATGAATTGGAAAATAAAGATGCAGGAAACGTATGGATTGTGACAATGAAGAGTAATGAAAAGGGATAAATATGTATAGTTATTGTATGAATAGTGGTGAGAACTTTACCTAAAAACTATAATGTCTGTTGTGAAAAGATAACATTAATTTGAAAATAAGTGTGTAGCTTAACCTTAAAAGGTGTTGTAGGAATACGTGTTTAGTTGGGAAATGATTTACTTCTGTCTTCAAGAAGCAATTTGTGTTGCTTTAAGTAGAAAAATTAAGATTGCTGGGAATTAAGATTGCTGGGAAAAAGATCAACAACCTCAGATATGCAGACGATACCACTCTAATGGCAGAAAGTGAAGAGGACCTTAAGAGCCTCTTGTTTAGAGTGAAAGAGGAGAGCGCAAAAGTGGGCTTGAAGCTCAACATAAAAAAAAATAAGGTCATGACATCTGGCCCCATCACTCCTTGGCAAATAGAAGGGGAAGTCGTGGAAGTAGTGACAGATTTCACGTTCCTAGTATCCCAGATCACCACAGACTGTGACAGCAGCCATGAAATTAAAAGACGCCTGCTCCTTGGGAGGAAAGCGATGGCGAACCTAAACAGCATGATAAAAAGTCCACATGGTCAAAGCAATGGTATTCCCAGTAGTCATGTATGGCTGCGAGAGTTGGACTATAAGGAAGGCCGAGCACCAAAGAATAGATTCTTTTGAACTATGGTGCTGGAGAAGACTCTTGAGAGTCTCTTGGACTGCAAGAAGATCAAATCAGTCAATCCTAAAAGTAATCAACCCTGACTGTTCCCTGGAAGGCCAGATACTGAAACTGAAGCTCAAATACTTTGGCCACCAAATGAGAAGGGAGCACTCACTGGAGAAGACCCTGATGCTGGGAAAGATTGAAGGTCAAAGAAGACGGGGACGGCAAAGGATGAGATGGTTGGACAGTGTCATAGATGCAACGAACATGAAGTTGAGCAAACTTCAGAGGACGGCGGAAGACCGGAAGGCCTGGCGTGATCTGGTCCATGGGGTCGCGAAGAGTTGGACTCGACTGTGCGACTGAACAACAACAAAAAGTTTTTAACAAGGTAGTCTATGTATATGTTTGGTTTTTGTGTTCATGTTTTTGTGTCAATGTGGTGTGTGTTTACTATTCATAAAACTCAATAAATATATTATATAAAAAAAAGATTATCACCATTTTCTACTGTTCTCCACAGTACCTACAGGACGCTCAAGGATATCACAAAACAGACTCATGAGAGAGTGTGTTAATATTTTCATCTGGGAATCTGAAATGTTACCTCTGCATAGCAGCTCATAAAATTTGGCTACAATTTTCAAAGCCACTTACTTTGGGGTATTCTTGCTGAACTTTCAATGATGTCTTTTTGCCTTGTGATCTGATTGTTGAAATATAAAGGAATAAAAACTGTTCCTATTTTCATTTTGTTGTATTAGCGGGATCTGCCATATTTTTTGCAGACTAATGGTTCTGATTCTTTTCATACATAATGGGGGGAGCACCTGTTAAACCAAAGGGAGCCATACAGATAAAATCAATTGTGAGGAAGGACAGCAAGACAATCCATGGGTGTCTTTGATCTCAGCTGATGGAAAGGGAATTACTTATTCTGTTCCTTCTCCTATTGAAATTACAGTTACTTCTTCCTGAAGTCTCCACTTTCTTGGCTTTTAACTGTACCTTTTCAGCTACTCCTGCTTCCTGGCTCATTAATAAGCCTTTGCTACACAGCAGGCCTCTACTCACAGATATCCTATTGTTCATGAGGAGGCCTCCTTCTGAAGATAGGAAATGATGTCCTACCATCTCCATATCTGGGCTTCCTCTCTGTACTTGCCTCTTTTATTTCCACTTCCTTCCTCTGTGTTTCTGGGGGCTTTTGGCAAGGTGGGTGTTCCTCTGAACTTCCAATGTACTATGCTTAGTGATGCTGGGAATTCAATAGGGTATTTTAGGCCAAAGGTTCTTACTTTGTATATAGTGAGATTTAAGAAAAAGGATAAAGAGGAGTCAGAGCGATATAGTTCATTTCAATTCTAGAGGAGAATATAGTGGTAATGCCTTCTTTTTTCTGTTTTTTTTTTTGCTTAAGGCTAATTAGAGCCTATTTAAAATGCAAACAAGAATCAAATCCACTTTCATGAAATTATAAACATACTATAACTGAAAAAAGAGTGAGCCTAATCAGATTTGTAGTGTATCACAACCACATGGTTATTTTATTATAGAGACAGTCCTTAAAACATGGAACATATGGGAAGGCAATAAGAAATGCCAGAAGAAAAATATTTGTTCCAAGTGCACAGCTGAAATTATTGCATGTCTTTATCGTTAATTAACAGGAAGGTGACCGTCTGAGTGATGAAGATCTGTATAAGTTTCTTGCAGATATGAGAAGGCCATCTTCTGTTCTACGAAGGCTGAGACCCATTACAGGTATTCTAGTGATATTGCTGAAGAGATTGAGAGACAACTAAGTGATAAAAACAGGGTAATTTCTCTCGCTTTAAACTACTTCTGTCTTGGTATTCAACACCATCAGATGAATTATGGATAAATATGTGACATGTGAATGACTTGCCTGAATTCCAGGTTTGGGGCAAATGGAAAAGTTAGTGCCTGATTTGTCCATGACCTACAAGGACTGTGCTGTAAAAAATTACATTTGAAATTAGATTCATTCTCTGCTATGCTTCTGAGGCCCATAATGTAAATTTGTTTAAATGACCAATTCCCCAATTTTTTGTGTGCATGGTAATCTTTTATTGTTTAGGATCCACAAGATTTACTTTGAAGTCTAGTCTGTTAGAACCAGACTGTATGTGCTTTACAAGGTGAAAAGTACGCAGACAGATGAGTGATTTCAGCTAACGTACTTTATTTCGTGAGGAACAAGACAACTTTAGCCGGCTCGCAGGCCAACTTATATTCCCCGAGAAACCACCACCTGAAACACACACACCCCACACCACAATAGGTTATTTACAGTGGCCGAGAGTCCCACAGGCTCTCGGCCGGGAGCCTAGCCCTCTGATTGGTGTGGGCTAGGATCCCCATAGTCCATTGTTAGTCTGAGCGAAGCTTGAGGGTTGCGTCGGACCGCATGGAGCCCTAGCCTGCCATGCGGTCTGAACTGGATACATTACATCAGGTTTTCTGAATCCTACTTGCAATACTTTTGTGTTTGTGGTCCTGTGGATATATTGCAATAAGGTCTACCAATGTAGTTCCCTCTGGTTTCTTTTCAGTGAAAACACCACTGCTTACCTTACTGTTTAAAGTGCCAAATTGTCTTGATCAATTTCCCCCCTAAGAGTTAATGTGGTTCTTTCAGAGTTTAAGATTGCCAGCCCCCCCCCCCAACCAAGGAAGCTTAAGCGCCCAGTTCAGTACTTTTCCCTCTTAGTCCTTCAACACTGCTGCATTCCCTCTGCCCACCTTTCTGCTTTTTGCATGCCATGGCAAAAGCTACTATACAGGAATGAGGCTGAGATTAGCAGCTGGGTCAGACCAGTGTGGTTAGTTCAGCCAGATTTTCTGGAATTAGGTGATTTCTTTGGTTCAGTAGGCCAGACTTCAGGGAAGCAATATTAGACAAAAGGACAGAGTTAGGGGAAGCAGAGTGAAGCAGGTTTTGATTTGTCGGCAGTAGGCTTGGCACAAAAGGCTTTTCCAGGAATTTGGGAAAGAATAGAGAGATATCCAAAGGATTTACTGCTTTACGCAAATAAAACACTGGGTATCTCTTGCCTCCAAACCTGAAGAACTCTCTTCCTGTTTCCATTGTGGCCACAGTCTGATAGTGTTTATTGAATATTATTAATGCTATCAGTCTTTTATCCAATGGGATGAAAACTGAGACTTTTCATGAGATGGTGTAGGAATATTTGAAACAGAAAAGAAGTCAAAATCATCTTGGTAATATATCCAGCATTATTTTAAGATTTTTGAAAATCCATTTCAGATATAGAGAAAAATATTTTAAATAAAAAAGCAAGTTACAGAAATAAACGTTTTTAAAAGAAAGCAATGACATTATCTCCTAATTTTTCTAGTATTTACTAGACAGTTGCCAGAAGGTGAATATATTATAACTACAGTTTTAGCTCATAAAACAACCACTTTGCTGCTCAAGATTTCAAGAGAGATATCTTAATGTAATAAGCCAGTCTCTGCCTTAGTAGAGAGACCCTAACATTTTAACTACCCACCTTCCTCCTCCACTTCCCTATTCCTCTTTAAACGCATTTAAAGACATCCCACATTTGCAAAATGGAAATGATCTCACAAATCATGTGGTTTCTTGAGGAGGTCTTGTTCTAATTTGCATGGTCAGGAGGGCAACAAAATTATTCTCCTTTATACCACAGTTATGTTGATGTTAGCTAAAGAGGGTACAAGATTAGATGCCTAACAAGAAGATTTAGTTAACACTTCAAAAAGTGGATGCCTTCAAAGAAGTTATTTCAAGATAACTGGAAGATACCTGTTCACTATGGGAAGGTCATTTACATCTGACAGACACTTTTCAAGGCTCCTAAACAAATGAGATATCTTAGAAGAGAATGAGTGGTAGTTAATTTAAATCCACATTCTCCAGGACCTCACTGAAAGAGCAAGGCTGCGGTCACATTGGAAGCTTGGCGTGATCTGGCGGCTCCTCCATTTGCAGTGGTTTAAATTGTCAGAGGAAGGAGTGACCAGACAGCACACCCTGAAGCGGCTTCACTGCATGCTTGCCCTGTGGTCAACCATTCAGATTATTGCTACGGGGCAACCACAGAGTGCGTGGTCAGGTAGCTACTTTTTAAACATTTATCTGTTGCATATGTGCATAGCCACTTAATCAAAGCACCGCTCCATTTTGACAGCTGGAGGAGGCTAACTCCCCCTCTGAAAAAAACTCATCTTCTTCCTCTGAGGTGGAGGACATCTCAGTGGGTTATTCCCATGATCCCTACCGAGATGTCCTCCAAACCTCAGAGGAGAAGGACCCTTCACGGTAAGTGCCAATGGTCGTTCTCCCTCTGAGGTGGAGGGCATCTCAGTAGGAACCATGGGAATAGCCCACTGAGATGTCCTTCGAACCTCAGAGGAGAAGGACCCTTCATGGTAAGTGCCAATGGTCATTTTCGATTAACCCCTTTCCCACCCTGTGTGGTACAAAGCTGTAGCCAGAGGAACCGGCATGAAAGAAGACAAAAGAGGCTTCTCAGCCTGCCCTCCCCCCCCGTTGCCTCAGAGGACAGCTGTAAGCTTGCTGGTGTGCATAAAGATGTGGTTACATGCACATCACTAACTGACTAAAAAAAAATCCAAGGAGCGGAAAATGGAACAGAGCAATCAGACTTCCCAACCGGATTGAACTTGCACTACGGGAGTTCAGACATCCGGAAATGCGGGGTGAAACTGCTGATATCTGTAAACACCGAACTTTCCCATGTGCCTGATTACTCTGCTTCCAAAGTGGGGCAGAAGGGGGTGGTGACGACTGGCACATGGAAGGCAAATGTTGCTGTCTGATCATGCTCTTTAAATCCACAAAAGTACCACAGCGATATCATTGCAAACTGCTCATGTGACCGCAGCCCATATTAGAAGAATGGCCAGTTCCTTACCCAAAGCACATAGAACAAATTCTAGTTTCTTTAATTATAGCTAGGATTTCCCCAGAAATTATTAATTGTAATACCAGTATGTCATGAGATACCTGCCTACCTACAAAAAGCCATGTTAGTCACTGGTAACCTAAAAAAGAGTAAAAGACTCAACTTGTGTAAAGTTTTTTTGTTTGGTCTCCATAAAGTGATGGTTTTCTATTACAGACAAGTGGCTGTTTACAAGTTTGATTGTACTAATAATTTCTCTTGTCATAGCCCAGTTGAAGATAGATATTTCTCCAGCTCCAGAGAACCCACATTACTGTCTAACTCCAGAGTTACTGCAAGTAAAACTTTACCCTGATAGCAGAGTTCGCCCAACAAGAGAGATCCTGGAGTTTCCTGCAAGGGATGTTTATATTCCAAATACAACATACAGGTAAGAGTAAAAACAGGTTTTTAATTTATAAACACCCCAGTGAGAAGGACAGGTTACACAGAGGAAGATGAATTTGTTCAGAATAATGCCCTTCTAGTAATCACCTACTAAATAGTTTCAAGGGGATTTTTAAAAATCCAATTAATTAAATACACAATACGTAGCAGTCTTCGGTTTTCTTCGTTCATTTATGGAACTTTTCAGTACACATGCCCAAGACCACACAATACATATTAGTTAATGAGATCATTGTTAGCCACATTGTTCACACAATCAGAGGTTTAGTTGTGGTAAAAATGTCTTCAATTGATATTTATAGGACTATTTATTTATTTATTTATTTTATTTTATTCCACTTATACCCCGCCCTTCCCGCGTACGGGCTCAGGGCGGCTTACAACCACAAGGCACAACGTGCGATAAAAAACAATAAAACAATTTAAAACAATCCACACATGGGACACGCCCAAGGATCCCAGTGTGTGTGTTTTGTTTGCTTTAATTCTAGGTTTATATGATGGGTCTTTAATGAGAATTAGAAACAATGTCTTTTTGTTTAACTTCCTTCAAATAGTGGAAATAGTCTGCTCTTTTCCCCTCTCCTTCAGTCTCGATCATCCTTTGATAACTAACAAGACTCAATAAGTAAATAGTATGGGGAGGTAACTACACCATGCTAGATGAACAAGTGCCACTCTTGCTCCTCACAATAGCAGATCAGGCTTTGAAGTGTTCAATAGACTTTTTTTTTTTTAAACAGAAATTTTTACTGTATTTGTTACATCTATATTCCTCTATTCCTTCGGGAAGTGTCTACAATGCTGTCCACTAGGGACCTCTACTCCAAATAACTTCCTACTCTAATCAAACAGTCATCTCTTTTTCTGAGAGTTGTTTTCCTCCAGATGAAGCATCCTCATTTGCTTCTAGAGACTTTTCTCGTATACTTATTTAAAGCAGGAGTCAAGTGGTACCTTAAAGACTGAACTTGTTTTGTCAAAGCTTACCATGAGGTGCTTTGGAAACTGTTGACAGGAACTGTAATACAGACTAGGATACAATTACTGCAATGTTTATCTGATCTCTTCTTTAGGTCTTCCTCCCTCTATTTATTTATTTAATTTCTACCCTGCCTTCCCTGCAAACGGGCTCAGGGCAGCTCACAAAAAGGGCACCATGTGCCAGTATAAAACAAGAAAACACATAAAACACATAAAAACAACCATTATCAAATAAAGTGCTCAGCGGTGTTATTAAAGCATTCAGTCAGAGCAAGATGGTAGCCTGTAGATGAAGCTCCAAGCCTGATTCAGCCATGTGGTCAGGTGAAGCACTGTGGCTCGATCTTGTAATGGGCCATCCCAATACCCCATGTTCCCATTTGGTAGTTGGTGGTGGTGATGGTGGTGGCTCCTAATTGAAAGCCTGGCGGAAGAGGTCTTGCAGGCCTTACGGAACTGTGAGAGGTCCCGCAGGGCCCTGATCTCCTCCGGGAGCTCGTTCCACCAGGTAGGTGGCCACATAGAATTCCCTCTTAGCGGCCTTGGTTGCCATCTCATAGTTAAACTATTTTATATGAATTGCTTGTGTTTTATGTATATTGGTTTTATTGCTGTTGTAAGTTGCCCTGAGCTGCCTAGGTGGGAGGGCAGGATAAAAGTCGAATAAATAAATAAATAAATCTCATAAACGTCCTATAAGATGCTCTTGTTGCCTCGTCGTGGGCATGGTGCCTCCGTCTGAGCTCTTGCTTCATCAGCCACAGCTCCTGGGTATATCAGGGAGCCAGCCTAGAGCGAGCGCGCAGAGGGCGGCGGGGACCGATCTCGTCGATGGCTATGGAGAGCCGGCTATGCCAGTCCTCCACAAGTTCATCCAACGAGCCGCCAGGGGGCCTTGGATCCTGCAGAGCCATCTGAAGCCGGTCCGGGTCCATTTGGCTCTGCGGGCAAGCTAAAATCTGCTCGCCGCCTAAACAGGGTCGGGGTGCAACATTCAGACAGGCCTTCAGGGCAAAGTGGTCCAACCATGATATTGCTAATACAGTAATCATGTCCACTGTTACTCCAGCCGCAAAGATCAAATCGAGCATGTGCCTGGCCTGGTGAGTGGGGGCCAATACGAATTGGGAGAGTCCTAGTGCCGCCATGGACGATACTAGGTCCGCTGCCTGACTGGACGCCACGTCATCGGCATGGACATTGAAATCATCCAGGACAAAAAATCTATGGTGCTCCAATGCCCAGCCTGATACAGCCTCCGTCAGGGACAGCAGGCTACTGGCTGGTGTGTTAGGCGGTCGGTACACCAGCCAGATTGCCAAACTCTCCTCGGCCTCCAACACCAGGCTGACACACTCAATGCCGGTGATCTCCAACTGTGGAAGCACCCTGAAGGAGTAAGCCTCCCGAATGAAAATAGCCACTCCTCCCCCCGCCCCCTAGTCCTTGATTGGTGTAGGATCAAGAACCCTGGTGGGGCAAGTTGGGAGAGAGCTACGGTCTCCCCATCTCGCACCCAGGTCTTGGTCACGCATGCCAGGTCCACCTTTTGTTCTAGGAGACAGTCCTGAAGGATTTTCAGCTTCTCAGTGCCAGGGCAGGATAAAGGAGCTGTTTGTCCGGGGGGTGGGTGGGAGGATGAACATGAGAACTAGGGATGGGCATAAACTGCATTTTTGCAGTTCAGTTCATGGTTCGTGGCTGAACCAAGAACCAATACACCAGTTCATGAACTGAAGCACTTTGCATCGGTTCGTGAGCCTATGAACCCCTGCTCTCTGCTCCCCATGGCTTTTTGTGGGAAGCAGAAAGTAGGGTTTTCCAAACAGTTGAGCGACAGGGACCACTGCTCAGCTGTTTGGTTTAAATAGATCTGAGCCAATTTAACCCTTCTTTCTGCACCACGCAAAACGCTCTGGGGAGCAGAAAGTGGGGTTCAAATGGCTTGGAGCCATTTAAACCAAGCAGCTGAACACTGAGCTGTTTGGAAACCCCTGCTTTCTGTTCCTCCGGGAAATCAGTGGCACCATTTAAACCAAACAGCTCAGCTGTTTTTCATGAAGAGGTAAAGCACGTAAACCCCTGCTTTCTGCTCTTCATGAACCTCTACAAACTGCTTCAAAATTTGTGGAAGTTTGTGGCAGTTCTTCACTTTGCAAACATGGTTCACAAACATCGATTTGTGAACCATGAACCAGCCAAAATTCATGATGAACCTTAGTTTGTCAGCTGGTTTGTGCCCATTCCTAATGAGAACTTCATGGGAACTACTTCAGTGCTAGTGTACAACCCTATATTACATCCTTAGCTTTCAACAAGAAAACCAGTGTCCAATTTGTACACGGCTAGAGTAATATAAGATGGTATCATATTGCTCCTGAAATGTCTAGATAGAAGAGTCACATGAGTGGATGAATGATGTAATTCCTTCTCATACCACTGTCTCCCTTGCTGACCATTGATTAACTTGAATATTGAGGTGATGTGACGCTAGAATTTCTTGGCTATATTACGCATAGCAGATCCTTTACTAAGGGTCCTTCAGATAGAATATGCTCTAAAGCAAAAGGAGCTCTTTTAACGCTTATGTGCTTCTATCAGCCTTTCTCCAAAGGTTAGTGCATCAAACAGTACCCTCTACCAGGATAATGACAGGAAATCAAGGCGAAAGGCAGTTTTTTTCCTCAGGGATGGCCTCTATTTATAGAAATGCACACATCAGTAAAGATTGGAAAGGGCTACCCTTCCTTGGTATTTAGCAGTTTAATACAAAGAACCCCTGAAATAATTCTTTACTTCTGAATAGCCTTCTCTAAAACCTGACTTTTCTTTTGGGAGCAGGCCAAATTTCTTGTTTTTCAAGGAGAAACTTAATAATCTTCAATGCCAAATAGCAGAGAGTTTGGAAGGCAATTCCATGTCTCTTTTCAACCTACCTGTATATTTTTAGGGATAAGGGCAGAAGGATAATAATTGTGGTCAACCAACCATTGGGGCATGTGCAATAAATCAATGCAGGTAAAAAGTCTTTGCAAGGACACAGTGCTTCCAAATAATATATGTATAATATACACATGAAATCTTTATGGAAGGCCTTATTGTATAACAGAGCTGCTAAAAATGTGGCTTTTCAAGATACAAATGGTAGGCCAGTGAAGGGAAATTGAATTTTCTTTTTTTTCCCTAATGGTGATAGATGCAGTTCATTAAAGCTTGTGTTATTTTGAAAAGGAAAAATGTCCTTAATCTATCTTGGGTATATCATTGGTATGTCAACCCATGGAGCAGTTTGTTTATTTGGTGAATTTAACTGGGGTAAGCAGAGGATGATCCCCAATAAATTTCCAAGTTTCCGCCAGCATTAGAGGGGTTTGAATATGGTACATTGTTTGGAGTAATCATCAACAGTGGTGATCATTTGATACTTCATCAATGATACAGTGAGAAGAAATGAGGTTCAGAGGAGCTAAGCAAAGGCAAATATACTTTTATACAGCATTTAATTCATCTTTGGAAGTCTGTCTGAGAATATTGTACAGGGGAACAAATATCATTGGATTATAAAATACTTGAGGATAAGGCTGTTGATGACTATTGGCCATGAGGGTCAAAAGTGTAATTTCTATTATCACACGTGATACCCATCTGGCTGATGGACCTTGGAAGTAGCAACATGGGCTGGTCAACGTTCCCCCTTTATGAACTTAGCTGAGACATCTGATGGTTGATTGGATATAAAATGGGGTGAAATGTTGGTCTAATAGTTGATCCAGCGTTGCAGTTTTTATATACTTAAAGTGAATTAAACTGTCAATCTGTGAAGCCGCTTTGGATAGCAACAGAGCCAGAGACCTTGTGAAAACGAGCAAGATAAGAACTGTGTATTTAAGCTTAAGCAATGAAAGTGCAAGATATTAACATAGCATTAAGAAAGCAATTATGTTGCAAGTAGTTCAAGGCATTTCAGATGTTGGCCATATTCCTTGTTAAACTAGTAAT